AATGGAAAGCAAAGGTGTCTATAGTCTATAGTCATAAGAGTCTAAACTTGCTATCAAAATATCAGCCTCTACCAATGTATGACTGATTGGTTCTGTGGTTAGTTGGAGGGTGGGGTTGCTAGTGAAAAAGGCCATCTATGCCATGTCTCGGGGTGAATTAGTTTACCGGGGTTCATGGTCATGAACTGTAGCCCTTGCTTAACCAGCTGCCTCATAGTTAGATTTCTTTGGTCTCACACACCCAGCCCAAGATCAGTAAAAACCCAACTTAGAGATTATTAATGGTGTCTTCGGTTTTATTAGATGGAGTCTAAGCCTCATGAATAAATTTGAATATCTGGTTGTAATTACCTTCATTGCTTCTCAAATGTGGGCAAATACAGATATCTTAGGGACCAAGGTGTACTGAATTCATTTGGATGGTGAATAATAGTTTCAAAATTATTCTGCCCTGATAAGTAGCTGTGTATTCATATTTTTAGACTAGGTCATTTCTAGGTCATTTTTAGACTAGGACATGAAGTAATGAGAACCTCCTTTCTTACTCGCTAAAGGAGAAGGGGCTTCATTATTGGTTTTAGAAATAGAAGGATATGCCAGAGGATTTCTGTTATCTTTGGCAGCTCCATGTCCTGTCTCAGGTGTTTGTGTGGTTGGTCTCTCTGTAAGAACAGTAGCAACTTCTGGGTTTCTGCCCCATCCCTGTTGGAGTCATAATACTGCTCTATGCTTTGTAGCAATATCAGAAGTTGTGCTCTGTTGCTCTTGCTCAGCCCCCAGTCTTGTCCCAGCTGACAAACATTGTGAATGGAAGACAGCCAAGGACTCCATACAGTGTGAGACAAAGGCCTTTTGGAAGCTTACTTTTTCCAAAATAGAAACAGCTACCCTCACCCTCACCTTGGCCCTGAGGTTTTTACAGCATCCTAGGGTTGTGCAAAAGTTGTAATGTGTTCTTTGCACTGAACAGCTCTTGGCCTGGTTGCAGGAAGGTGAGTGATTAGTGGCTTACATGCTCAAGAAATTGTACCATGCCAGTACTTTAGTTGCCAGAGAGAAACATACTAGAAGTGGCTTCGTATACTATATAATGCGAACTTAATCCAAGTTGGGACAAAATGTAATGTGGGGAGAACAGTGCATAGAAATGTTTGCTCTTCAGAAATCAGAGTAAGAGGGCACCGACAGACATTAACCTCCTCAAATAGAGGTTAGCATTTTCTACTTTTATCTCCCTGAATTCTCAAAAATTGAGTTTAAGCATTATTTCACTGGGAAGAGACAGCCAGCTCTGCTCCATCAGCAAGAAGTCTGAGCAAAGGCAAAACGGAATGTTTTTCTGGAAGGAATTTTTAAAAAAGAAAATCCTCCCAGAATTTAATCTCTGAACAGTATTATCTTTCTAGTAAGAGAGCCCAGATCTTGCTTCCTCAGAACCTTCCAAGTTGCAGTCTGTGTTCTGTCTATCAGAAATGCCTCTTTCCCACCCACGAGTGCCCTTCTATTGTGGGGGGAAGGAGGGCCTTTCCAGTCTTTTGCCTGGGACCAAGCCAGCCCTCAAACTGTGGTTTTCTGTGAGTCTTTTTGCTGTAGTAGGGCTGTTTCCCACACCCAACAAAGGAGCAGGAGTCATGTACATGTCGACTAGGTCTTGAGTAGAGGCCAGTGCTGACATAGTTCTTTCCTTCCTGGGACATTGATGACAGTGCAGCCCCCATCCCTGTGTTGTTAACATTGTACAACTAAACGTAACATTTCTTAGAAAATATGGAGTAAGAACTTCATATAATTCTGTCCTTTTATGAATGAAAATCTGGACAAACAGTTCACGTGATCTGTAGTTGGTGGAGTGGTAGGATTGGGGCCAATACAGGCCAGGCGGGGCCTCACGGGGCTGATTTTTGTCATTGGTTTAAACGCTTTCATTTATGTGTCTGCTTTTAACATTGCCTGAGTGTTTTCCTGGGTTTTAATCCCATCCTGCACAGCCTTGTCTCTCATGAACCACCTGGAGATTTGTCTGCATTACTGACTTTTTGGCATTTCAGATGGTATACAATTGTAATCATTTCATTATCCATTCAGTGTATTAGAGTATCATCATTCAACCACAAGTCACAACCTAGAAGCTTTTTACTGTATGTGGAAAGAGTATCTGCTTTCTGAGATGTAGTACATTTCTGTTCTATTGAGGCTTAAGCAAGCTTGAATCTGTGATAGATTGAGAATTATTTCTCATATCAGTTAAGATTCCATTTGGTTGCATGTAATCAAACCCCCTCTCCTCATTCGTGGCTTACACAAGTTAGAGGACTTGTCCCCCGTATGTGGTTGAAGATACAGACATAGGCTTTTCCAGACTCCATGGTGCCATCAGAAACCCATGTTTCTTCTGTTTATATCTTCTTCTGTCCTTAGCCTACCTTAGCAACCCCTGTGCCTGTCTATCTCTAACTAGATATTTATGTTCTTGAGAAGAAGAACAACAGTAAATAAAGGTCACAAGTCACCAAGTCTGCCTCCTTGAAAGAGCTTTCCCTAAAATTGTACTCAGAAACTTCCGTTTATGTCTTTTTGGCCAGAATGTGTGTCATCTTTGGTTGGAAGAGAGATTTGGAAATGTAATTTTTTAATGGGGCACATTTTATTACCCAAACAAAATCAAGGTAGTATTATTAGGAAGAAAGGGAGAAGTGATAGTATTCAGACAACAAGTTAGCCTAACCTATTTTATTTTGTTATTGCCTAACTTTATTTTATTTTATTTTGTTTAAAGTGAAAACAAATTTTATATAGAACATCAGAGTCCAAGGACTTGCTACAAATTTTGCATCTAGGAAGGCAAATTTATTTTTGTTTGGGATTTGCAGAAAAGCTGATATATTTTGTGACTGAATGTGGGCTGGACACAAACAACACACTAGGCACTGTTCAAAGTCCAGAGAATGGTCCTTTTACAAGATTACATCTGTACATAAATACCTATTTGCCTATTTTCTTGTCTAGGAATTTAGTTGATGAGTACTTGGGGGGTTTCCCATGGTTTTCATTTATTAAGTACCAGTGAGTGAAACAAAAATTAAACACATACACAATCCAGCCATTATATATACACATACGTTTTTCCAAGTGTTCGAAAGAGGAAAAGATTATTTCTGTCAGAGAGAATTGAGTAAATATGAGCCGGGGAACCTAAACATGTGTTTTTATTTTAAGAGTTTGCCTTCACAGCTAGTGAGCATCGTCCCAAGACTAGAAAAACGTGTTGGAAGAAATGCACAACAACTCCCGTTCACAAACGATTACTGACAGGTAGATTTGCGTGTCTTCCCATTCTTGGTTCCTCACTAAACAGGTAGAGGTTTGGGAAGGAATGGAGTGTTTGCTGAGTGTCTTCTGTATGCCTGGCTCTTAATTGGTTTTGAGAAACCCTTATGGAATGCCTGGGCTAAGATTACTTGCAAGATCTCCAACAATCCAATACAGTAATTTTAATTGCTGATGAGAAATCTGAAGCTCAGAGAGGTTAAGTAACTTGAAAGGATCACCCACTTTGTAAGTGATAGGGCCAGCATTTCAGCCCAGGCACATTTGACTGTAAGCCATGTTCTTTTCCATTTACTCTGGGTCTCTATGCCTTTCACTAATGACCTAATCTGCTTTTGTAGCCAGTGTTGAACAGTTAATTCCTTATTTTACCCAGTCTAATAGGGAGTCTTATACCCACTGGTTGAAACTTAGGCTTCATTTGGATATTTTTGACTTGTGTTGAGTTAATTTGTTACTTGCTTAAACGTTATTAGAATTTGGCTTCCTTTTATCTTTTAGTAATTATTTTTGTAAGAAATAACTACATATATAAAATATAAAATTTAAAAGATACAAATGATATATAGTAAAAAGTTACTCTCCCCCCTACCTTGACCCCTCGCTATCCAGTTCTCCATGAGGGCTACCAGTTTTTTTGTGCGTCCTTCCAGAATTGTTCTTGTTAGTGCAGATACTAATGTTTGTGTGTATTGGTATATACATATATGTTTGTGTGTATTCTTTTTTACAGAAATGAAAGCTCACTACACTCACTTTTCTGAACTTGCCCTTTCCATTCATCTTTTTATTTGTGTTAAGATATCCTAGAAAGATTTTGAGGAAAAAAATAAAAGAGAGAAAAACTTAATGGATTAGGAAATATAGTTGTCGCTAATGGCAACATTTGTTGAATAGCTGTTCTTACTGATGCTAGTTCACTCACAACATTTAAAATATAACTCACGGCAGTTGTAGCGGTTCATGCCTGTCATCTTGCACTTTGGGTGGCTGGGGTGAAAGAATTACTTGAGGTCAGGAATTTGGGACCAGTCTGGGCAACATAGTGAGACCCTGTCTCTACCACAAAACTTAAAAATTAGCCAGGAGTGATAGCTGTAAGGCAGCAGCAGAATTCTAAACCACCCTTCAAGCCCATCACCTGGTCTGGTTGCTGGTTTCTGTTCCAGCCTCGTCTCTCCACACTGCTCATCATGCTCTGGCCACACTGACTTCTTCCCTCTCCTCCTACATGCAGACCTTCTAGAGTTCACAGTTTTAGCGTGGGCTGGAATCAAGTAAGGCATCAAGTTAGTTTTATTCTGTGCTCTATTTCTGCTGCTTGACACTGAGTAAGAGACATTTATTAAAAATTGGTTGAATTTAACAGTGAAGGAAACTATGACTGAAAGAGTCAAAATGCTTTCCGAATTCACATGTGGGTGGACCAACACATAGTGCCCACATGCCCAATTCCTAACCCAGCAAGACCATCCTAAATCTCTGCTTCAAGAGATTCCCCTTCTCTGAATCTACATTTGCACTAGCAACATAAGAGAAATTTTTCCTTTAAAAACATTTATTTACTTGTCCCTTTCCTTTTTTGCCCCCCTTCAGGATTACAAACCAGTTGCATATAATGAATGGACTGTGAAGAGGATCTCCATCAATCGTTTTTTTCTTTTTTCTTACAGGCAATCTTTGGCAGCCAGACACTGCCTAACTCCAATTTGTGGACAGTGAATAATGGTGCAGGCTGCAGAATTTCAAGTGCCACAGCTGGTGGTCAGAAACCAACCACTCTGCCACAGAAAGTGGTGCCACCTCCAAGTTCCTCCTCCTCCCTGGTCCCCAAACCTCCATCCAATCACAAACAAGTACTCAGAAAGGCAGCATCCCAGAGGGCTTCCAAGTAAGTTTTCTATAATCTCTATAATCTTCTGGTCACTTTCTATGAGTTATATTTTATTGATGGAGCCTTCAAAACAATTCTTACTGAGGTATTGAAAACAAGATCAGCCAATGGGGAATATGGGCTAACTCTAGTGCTCAGCCCTGGCTACAGCTGAAATCACCTAGGGAGCTGTTGCAACGTGTGGATAGCTGGGCTCTACCCTATGCAAGGAGTAGGCACATCTTTTAGGTCCCACCAGTTATTGTGATGAGAGCTGCCCACAGGGTTCATGGTCATTGGTAACCAACTCTGCTGGCCTCTGGCCAGAACTGTAATCTGACAGAGGACCAGGTAACAGTCCTGACTGTGGACTTGGAGAAAGGAGACAAAAACTTCCTCAATGTTTTTTTTCTTGGTCATTCTTCAGAATCAGATCGGTAGCCCCCTCCTCCCTCTTTGTTTCTTCATTTTTAAGTTGTGAATGGGAAGATACAGGATTGAGATCTCATTTGGGGAAATAAACTTTGTTCACATCAACAAGCTCTGTGTAGCAACAGTGTTTTTGATACCTTTTGTAATCCACCTATTTTATACCAAAGAAGACATTCCATGGCTCAGTCAAATTTTTGACAGTCACTCCTTCACTCTACCTACCTCCAGCCATTTTTTAGTTAGGGAACTTGAAGTAGGTTGGTAAACAGTCTTGGTTCTAGCAGCCCTTCTTCAGTTTACTTTTCAGAGATGTCTGGAAAAGCCAGGCATTTCCTGCTGTGTGGATACTTAAAGGAGATTTGTATGTTTCTCTTGCCCCCCTTAAGGCTTCTCATTTATTTGTCCTTTACAAGATCAATATTAGTTATAAGAAAGAATCCTAGGACACCAAAAAAGTAGTAACTGTTTTTTTCTTTGGGGATGGTGAATCAAATTCTGGATTTGAATTGAAAACAGTCCCTTGTGGCTATTTTTAATTATATTGCTGCCATTATTCCTGTATTCAATAAAGATTTATTTAGTACTCACTGAAGACCAAGCATTGTTCTAGAAAGAGTTGGCATTATAATGACTGCAGCACTCTCTGGAATAGTAGGGAAGGGCAATAAGAAGGCTGCAGTTTGTGGTTGAATTCCAGTAGCAAACTAGAAAGGAAACTGTGTATCTTCTCATGAGAAAGAGTAGCCTTAAATCCTTAAGGGCACAGCCTCTGTAGCCTGACTGCCTGGATGCACATTCCCACTCCACACTTCATTAATTTGATACCTTCAGCAACTTAAAGTTATTTGATTAAGAGTATCTACTTCATAGGTGGGTTGGTAAACATTAATATAGAGCAAAACCTTGAGCATTTAGGAACTCAGCCTTAGTCACCCACATATGCATTCTAAAACCACACTCTCCTTTGCAGGTTTGAAAAGCCCACAGTTAACTAGGAAAATTAGTGAATGGGATATGAGTGCTGAATTTGCCAGGTGCTCCTTGTTTGTGAATTTTGGTTCTTTCCAATACCCTGAGATGGCCCTCGGTGGCCTGTGTGGTCGTCTGGGGAGAGGTGGGTGTAGGCAGCAGGGCTGGATGTTCGAAGATGCTGCTTGCTGTCCTGAACTCAGCTGGCAGGAGAACTCCTCAGCCTCCTCTCAAGATGGAATTGCAGCTCCTTGGACAGACTTTGCTTTACTGCATTTTTGTGGTTTCTTCTCTGTGACAGGCAGGAGTGTGGGAAAACCGGAAACAGCTCAGCATCAAAAATGCACAGAAGGGGGAAAAAGCAAAGATTTCTTCAGAATTTAAGTAATATAATCCAAGTATCAAAAGGCATGCTGTGAGGCGTTGTTCCAGGAAATAGTTTCCAATTTGCCTTTAAAACTCTAGCCTAAGTCTCTGAAGCTAAGTTAGCACTAATGGAGACTTTAACATCCTCTTACTAACAGGTAAAATGCACACTGTTGTGATGGCCCCACTGCTTTCAAATATTCTTCTGACTTTTAGGACCAATAATATGAACAATCTTTATGAAGTATCTGGATACAATTTTCTTAAAAATAATGATAAAGCATATTTTATATTAATTTTAGATTTACAGAGAAATTGTAAGGCTAGCATACAGTTCCCATATACCACTCACCCAGTTCTTTCCATCTTACATTGCCAGGAGACATTTGGAAAATCTGCCATACTAAGAAATTGTCATTTGCATATTACTGTGAACTAAACCTCATACTTTATTTGGATTGATAAAGTTATTGTTATTTTTTTTTAGAGACAGAATCTTACTTTGTTGCCCTCGGTAGAGTGCTGTGGCGTCACAGCTTACAGCACCTGCCAGCTCTTGGGCTTAGGCGATTCTTTTGCCTCAGCCTCCCAAGTAGCTGGGACTATAGGCACCCGCCCCAATGCCCAGCTATTTGTTTTTTGTTGCAGTTTGGTCAGGGACAGGTTTGAACCCGCCACCCTCGGTATATAGGGCAAGCGCCCTATTCCTTGAGCCACAGGCAGCACCCTGATAAAGTTATTTTTAATCTAAGGAAACTTTTTCATGACTCCTAAAATTGAGATCTTGAGTATCCATTGATGATATTCTCACTATTCTGAAGTAATTCTTATTCCTAGCCACCATTACAAGTTACCCAATATCTCTATGACTCAGTTTCTGAATTTACAAAAGGAGTAAGAATAATAATAGTGCCTGCCTCATAGATTCTTAAGAGAAATAAATGAATTAATGAATGTCAAGCACAAATACAGTACCAATACATAATACATGCTAACACTAACACTAAATATTATGTTTAGAGATGAGATAGCATTTCAAGAAATTTTCATGTAATTTTTTACTTTCTTCTTACAAGATACGTTGCTTCATTGGTTTGGATCTTATTATGGCCTTACTGTGGACTCTGGCTCAGTTCAGATTAATCAGGAACCCTCAGTTATGACTGTTGATACTGAGTCACACTCAGGAATGCCATAGTTACCCCAAGAGACACAACTAATAAGTTGTAATGAGCTTTTGACCATGCCAAGCTCTGTGTTTTTTTGAGTTGAACTTCAAACTTCTAACACAGAAGTTGGCATTAGACAAATATAGAAGCAATTTCCAAAAGCATCAAAGTTTCCACATCCTAGAGGGTTGAGTTTAGAGAACAATAGAACATTAAAGATGGAATGTCCTTTCGATTTTGGTGCAAAGGGAGTTGAGAAGCAGAAGGGCTTGGAGTCCTGTTTCTTCATGATAATGCTCAAGTCACTTTCCCTCTAAAGGTTTCATTTTCCCGTCTGTAAAACAAACTGCTTGTTGTCCCTACTGAATAATTATCCACAATAACTTGTTTTCTGTCTACTCTGTTGAAAGCTTTTTTATGAGCACATTTGTTTTTTAATCCTGATACTTTATAGGCTTTTCCTCATGCTTTCTTGGCCCAGTAGTTCTTTGTTATTGTTCTAAAATTTGTATACTTACGTTTCTTATAGCTAAAATCTCATTTTTCAATTCTGTGAAGAAAATTATTTAGAATGTTTTCCCACCATTTCCATAGTGCCAGTAGCCTTTCTTGATTTCCTTCTGTAATGTTTGCAACACCTCATAATTTAGTACCCGCTTCAGATCCTCCTTTCAAAACTATTTGTGGTATTTCTTCCCAGCAGTCAGCTGGACTGAGAAGGATGACAGCCTGTGAATAACGCCATGCATCTAAACTGTCTTTTCCTTGTCAGTGACCTTTTTTTCAGATCCAGAATCACACTCTCCAGGAAGTATGGAGAAAGAAACCTGAGGAGATTGACGTTTGCCAGGCACATGGGCAAAACTCATAGACAAAGAGATAAATTTGAAAGGCAGGGTCAAAAGCTGTTGTAACTTGGGAGACTTCTCTAGAGAAACCCAGACTGAACTACGGTACTTTTCTTTAAGTAGCTGGGATTACTGTTCCTTATTCGGGTTTTAGGATAATCTGCATCAGTGTGACCACAGTGGAAACTGAAGGTAACTCCTTTGTCAGTACCCAGGACAGTGGTGTTTGTTACAGGCTGCCAGAAATTGGGAGAGGGTGAAGTGGTCAGGAGCTAAGGAGCCTGGGAGAACCAAATGCCAGTCAGTGTAACCTGAATGTGTGGTGAAAGATGTTGAGAGGTTCATGTCAGATAAGTATAAAAATAAACATCAGGTTAAAAAGAAAAGTTATATATTTTTAACATGTAAATCATTAAAGTGGGAAGATTCTAGGGCAAAGTAATCAGTAGTTATAATGCTCCAAAAGTTTCTTGATGTGAACATAAAAGCTGTCATATTCTATGTTAAACATCTTCTGTGGTTAGTCTTTTAGCCTTTTATTATATGTAGTTTTCAGAAACATAATTGAATCTGTGGCATTTCCATTGTTAAACATAGGGTTCTCTAAATTAGGTATTTCCAAAATATGTAATTGTAAAATTTCTGTGCTACAGATAAAGGATTGGAGGCATAGTGTGGGGCTGTGAATGTAGCAAGGGACACAGATGGTCAGTGGCCAAGCCACAACTGGAACTCTTATCACTGATTTCCAAGGTCCCTACCAATTCACCCACATACATCTGTGCAGCAAATGGCATATTAATTATTTTAAAACATTTCTTTTGGAAAAATACCATGTACTCACTTAGGAACTCATTCACCTCCCTTTCCATACCAGTTTTACCACTCAAAAGAGAGTTGATGCTGTTCTCATGTTAAAGGTGTTAGGGGAAATTCTGTTAGAAGGAGCACAGAAAGTATTGGATGGAAAAACAATATTGATGGCTTCGGTATAGTGCCTTCCTGAGAGAGTGCAATACTCCAGACAATCCCTCTTACTCAGAGTTGCAGGGCCTAACAGTGGGAAGGAGGTGGGCACTGCCCTGAGGCTCTCTTTCTTCTCTTGTCCTTCATGATTTGCATCTCAGTGATGGCATTAGGTCTTAGGGTTTGTTTTTGGCAAGGACAATGACATCAGTCAGAGAGGAGGGTACTAGCAACAATACCTAACCAAGAGTGGCCTGATCATGTGTGG